TATTTCAAGGTCATATTATCTAATGATCTTGTTCTAAGAGTGAAAATACTCATCCCATTGGCAAACTATCTCATTTACCTACTCACATTAAGGGTAAATACACTTAATTTCCGGAATTATTTCTTATTTCTAGATCATTTTTCCAGTGTAAGAAATTAAATAAAGGTTAACACTGCAAAAACCATCTTAAATATCTTAAATAAGTGTATTTACCCTTAATTTTAGTAGGTAAATAAGATGTTATGCCAATGAAATTAGTATTTCTACTCCTAAAATAAGAGAATTAGATAATATTCACTTGAATTAGGACAAAGCAATAGTTTTTTTCTTATTTTAAATGTAAATTGTCTTGTTCCATTGGCAAGGTGTCTTATTTATCTCCTCAATTCAAGACAAAATTCACTTAATTTAAGCAAAAATGACTTTTTGCAGAGAAGATAGATTTTTTTTGTGTGTGTTTTTTTTCTTTAAAGGGGAAACTTCATGACCCAGATATGATGGGAATCATTCCCAGGATCGTTCAGGACATCTTCAACTACATTTACTCCATGGACGAGAACTCGGAGTTCCACATCAAAGTATGTAATCGCTCAGCACGATGATCCAGATCTCACATGCACACGTTAGTGAAGAGGTTCTTTCTGAAACTTCGTTTGGCAGGTTTCGTATTTCGAAATCTATTTGGACAAAATCAGAGACTTGTTGGACGGTAGGAAAACGTTTTTTCTCTCCTGATTAAGACAAATCATTAACTGCATGAAGGTTTAATCTGACTTTTCTGTACAGTAACAAAGACGAACCTGTCTGTGCATGAAGACAAGAACAGGGTACCCTTTGTCAAGGTGAGATTTCTCTGCCTTCAGCTGTTATTAGTCTGATCAGATGATAAACCTTGAAAATACTGAAAAGATAAAGTAATGAGGTCTTTTTTTTCCCTCCATGGTTCTCTCTGAGACTGTGCACTATGTCATTGTCTCCCGTGTCTCTGTGTAGCCCCTCCTGCTGTGCAGCGGGTGAACACAGCATTTCCTTGTGATGTGCCTTTGTGTCCGCAGGGATGTACCGAGAGATTTGTGTGCAGCCCTGAGGAAGTAATGGATGCCATAGACGAAGGCAAAAACAACAGACACGTGGCGGTCACAAGTGAGTTTGCACATTGAGTGCCTTCAGAGCTGCTGGTTCACATGGGTTTGGCCTCACTGGGTCTCCTGACTGCCACCACAGTCAAAGCCAGGCCGTCGCCTCTGCTCAGCAGCGCTTATACTTGATTCTGCTCTTCTTTCTGACCGGATTGGGGCAACATTTGTTCAGATCACCAGGGGTGGGCTTACCAAACAGGCAAAATAGCCTTGGGCCCAAAACCAGCAAAGGGCCCCGCCTGTAAGGGGGCCTGCTAGTTCCCCGTACATGTTGGGGTTTAAAGATTTAGCATTAATGACGGAAAACCGTGATTCAAAACACCATCAACTGCTGCTCCATAGCATAAACCGATACTTCCCATCACGTAAGATAAAACATCCAGAGACGTCGTGTGGAGCAACGGTAGAGATCTGAAAAGACAAAGATGAAGCAGAGCTATAAACCTCTTCAAACCCACCGGGTCGCCGGCGACCCGGTGGACCTTAAAGGAATAGTACACCCAAAACATGATTAGCCTTCATTTTCTACTCACCCCCAT